TCTCTCTCTAAAATCAATAAAGAAAACAATTTTTTTTTTAAAGTGCTGATGAAGGGGTCCTTTCTCCTGGCTCCAAAAGTTCATGTTTCTATCTCCTTCCAGGGTTAATTTTACCCAGATGGTGCATCTCAGCCTGTCAGATTATCCTGTGAGTCAGTCAGTCCCCCACTCCTCAAATCGCTGTCTACTACTTTCCCTGCCTAGAAGCTCTCGCCACTCCCCTGGTTCTCAGCTGCTTCTGGTTTTCTATGGGTCTTCACTAGTCAGGCCTAGTTCTCTGTCCTCTCCAATGTACACTGGGCTAGCCTCAGCCTCACAGTGACTACAGTGTTCTGCTGATGAGGTCCCTCCTGCGGCCTGCTCTCTAAATGCCCCTTTCCTTTGCTGGTTTGCATTGGTCCCCTGCTTCCCCAGAATACCCACCCCTGCTTCCTTCTCCCCAGAGATGCTGTCCTTCCAGTCCACAGCCAGTCAGCAATTCTATGCCTGTACATATCAAGTACTTTTCTGGAATCACATCTCTAGTGAGCAGACCATAAAAGTGCATGATGCACTTGGCCAACTCCTGTGGGGTTTGAGTGTGTTCCTAGTGGGGCTGAGATGAGAATGAGGAATGTTAGAGGATAACTAAAGAAAAATAAAGTGCCCGGCTAGTGTGGATCAGTGGTTGAGGGTCGACCCATGCACCAAGAGGTCACCGATTGATTCCTGGTCAGGGCACATGCCCAGGTTGTGGGCCCAATCCCCAGTCGGGGGCATGCAGGAGGTGGCCAATCAATGTTCTCTCTCATCAATGTTTCTATCTCTCTCCCTCTATCTTCCTTCCTCTCTAAAAATCAATAAAGAAAAAGAAATTTATTAAGAAAAATAAAGTAAAATCATGACTCTCATGTAGATATAAATTCTCTCTAAAAATCAATAAAGAAAAAGAAATTTATTAAGAAAAATAAAGTAAAATCATGACTCTCATGTAGATATAAAATAAATACATGTCAAAGATTTTATTTTACTCATTAATTAATGAGGAAACCAGTAAGATGTTATGAATAGTTCAAAGAAAAATTCAAAGAGCCAGGCATTAGGGAATGTGAAGATGAATGAACAGATAGATGCAAAATGAGTCCAAAATAAGTTGCCTTCCACCAGACACAATTCATTTGCATTTCTGTGGACAAGAATCATTTGCATTATTAGTTTCTGACAATTTACAGAGTTATAAAATAGCTCAAAATCAACTAAGGGTGCTCTAAAAATGACACCCAGTTAACTTTTTCTTTGCCAAATTTCAAGTCTTTCACAATTTTTCCTGATAGGAGGAAGGCCTCTCTCTTTCCCATAGAAACCCACAACTATTGTAACTATTGGAAACACTGTCTGTGAAGTGGGAACAGGCATTTCTGCTTGAGGAGACCAATATACATGTATTCTCCTTAACTCCCAACCTCAATAAATGCTATAGATGGAATGTTTGTGCTCCTCTCCTCAATCCATGTGTTGAAACCCTAACGCCCAATGTGATGGTATTTAGATGTGAGGCCTTTGGGAAGTGAATAACTCATGAGAGTAGAGCCTTCAATAATGGAATTAGTGTCTTCATAAAAAGAAACCCTGGAGAGCTCCTTTGCCCCTTTGGCCATGTAAGGATACAGTGAGAAGATGTCCATCTGCAATGCAGAAGAGCATTATTGCCAGAACCTGACCATGCTGGCACCCTGATTTGGGCTTCTAGCCTTCAGAACTGTGAGAAATAAATTTCTGTTGTTTATAAGACATCCAGTCTATGGTACTTTATTATAGCAGTCTGAGTGAACTAAGACAACAGAGGATGGAAGACTCCTCCCTTTTAGAGCATTGTTACTCAGAGTGTAGTCTGGTATCACCCAATAGCTTGTTTAGAAATTCAGATTTTTGGCCCCAGTCTACATTAGAGTCTATATATTTTTTATATTAATTTATTTTTGTTACAGATGTTTCTCCTTTTTTTCCCCATTGACACCCTCCTCCCCACCCCACCCCCACCCTGTCCCCGGCTTTGCTGTCCGAGTCCGTTGGTTATGCGTACATACATATAAGTTCTGTGGTTTATCTCTTTCCTCCCTCCACTACCCCCTCTTCTGAGGGTTGTCAGTCTGCACCCTACTTCCACATCTCTGGGTATAGAGTCTATATTTTAAGAGGTCCCAGACATCCCATGTTTATGGATCAAAAGACTTAATATTGTTAAGATATCAATACTTCCCTAAAATATCTAGTTTCAATGCAATCCCTATCAATAGCCCAGCTAGCTTTTTTTTGGAAGAACTTTGTAAGCTTATCCTAGAATTCATATGGAAATACAAGGAACCCAGAATAGCCAAAATAATCTTGAAGAAGAAGAGTCAAGTTGGACAGCTCATACTTCCTTATTTCAAAACTTACTACAAAGCCACAATAATCAAAATAGTGTTGTGCTAGTAAAAGTTTATATAAATAGATTTATAGAACACAATTGAGAGTCCAGAAATAAATTGATATATCTATGGTCAATTGACTTTCAACAAATGTGCAAAGACCATCTAACGGAGAAAGAATAGCTTTCTCAATTAATGGTACTGTGAAAACTGGAGATCCACATATAAAAGAATGATGTTAGATCCCTACCTCACATCATATACAAGAATTAATATCAATCAGAGACCTAAATATACTCAAATGTAAGAGCTAAATCTATAAAATTCTTAGTAAAAAACCAAAGTGTAAATCTTTGACCTTGAATTAAGCAACAGACCTTGACAAAATGAAAAATAAGTTGAACTTCTAAGAACTTTTGTGCTTCAAAGGACACCATAGACTGGGAGAAAATATTTGCAAGTCATATATCTGATAAAGCACTTGTATCCAGAATATACACAGAATGCTTACAAACTCAACAATAAAAAGACAAACAATTCTACTTAAAATTGGGCAACAGATTTTTTTTATCCTCACCCAACGACATTTTTGCATGTATCTTCAGATAGAGCGGGAGGGAGAGAGGGAGGAAGAGAGAGAGAGAAACATCGATGTGAGAGAGACACACTGGTTGCCACCCACATGACCCCACCCACATGACAAAGTGCAACCAAGGTACGTGCCCTTAGCGGGAACTGAACTCAGGACTCTCTGGTCTGCAGGCCGACACTTTAACCGCTGAGCCAAACCGGCCAGGGCTGGGCAAAGGATTTGAATAAACATTTCTCCAAAGAAGGTATACAAATGGCCAATAAGTACATACAAAGATGTACAACATTAGTCATTAGGGAAGTACAAGTCAAAACTACAATGTGATACCACCTTACATCCACTTAAGATGACTTAAAAATTTTTTTTTTCAACAGACCATAACAGTATTGGAACCCTCACACTTTGCTTATGGAAATGTCAAATGATGCAGCCACTTTGGAAAATATCGCGGCATTTCCTCAAACTATTGGACAGTTATCATATAACCCAGAAATTCCATTCCTAGGTATATACCCAAAAGAACTGAAAATATCTGTCTACACAAAAACCTATTCACAGATGTTTATAGCATTATTATTCATAAAGCCACAAAAGGAAACCACCCAAATGTCCATAAACTGATAAAAGCATAAAATGTGGTATATCCATGCAGCAGTATGTTTATTGCAGCTTCATTTAAATAGTGAAGACTCTTAATATTCTATAATCATCACTAGGACTTGCTCTGATCATTGTTGAGTATGATATAGTAGTACAGTGTGAGTTTATATGATTGTGGCACTTGCATTTTATGTATATGCTCTTGCGGAGTACTCACCCATCCTACATCCATAATGCAAACTAAGGTTTTTCTCTGCAGGACATTTCCAGCAATTCCTGTGTGCATATAGAAGGCATGGGCTTGGGTTAGACCCCTGACTTTCTCACACACTGTCTCGGGTAAAGAAGGCACTGCAAATCTCTGAAAATTTTCTGCAAAGACTGTAAAAAAGACAAACAGACTCAATCACAACCAAGAAGCCACCATGAGTTTCCAAATATGCTTTTATTTCACGAATGAAGAGTCACATTGTGATAAAAAAAAAAAAAAAATCCAAGAGGCATTTTTCCAGGATAGAAACAAAAGGAAGTAAAGAGACACGATGCAGGAAGATCACCAGGAGGCTCAGAGATAACTTACAATTTCTTCCTAAAACACTATTAAAAGCGGGGGGCAATGTACATGTACATACATACAAATATGCTTAAGTAATGGAAATAGTGAAATTCAAACAATTTCCCCCCAAAAGGATACATATTAAAAATGTTATGCTAAGTAAAAGAAGCCAAACACAAAAGGCCACATACTATGATCCCATCTATTTGAAATGTCCAAAATAGGTAAATCTATAGAGACAAAGAGTAGATCAAAGGTGGCCCTGCCTGAGGGGAAGCAAATTGGGGACCGAAAGGCTCATGAGCAGAGAACTGCATTTCGGAGTGATGAACATGTTCTGAAATTAGATTGTGGTGTTGCACACCGGAATGAATATACTAAAAACCACGGAAATGTTCACTTGCAAAAGATGAATTTTATAGCATATAAAGTATATATCAACAGAGCTGTTGTTACTTTTTTTTTTTTTCTTGGTCTCGAGACGTTCAGCACAGAGTGGCACCAGGTGTCCTGCGTCACCCAGGCTCAGGTGGAACCTGGAACACTGCGCCCTACCCCTCCCTTCTATAATGGATTCACATTCCACTCCCAACCCCCGCTGGTAACGGACCCCATTTTCTGTACCATCTCAGAGTCTACCGGCTTCCCAGCTGCCACCTAACTCCCGAGTAGCAGGCCTCCGGCCACTGAACTCGCTCACCCTGGGTGTACTCCACTCACCCTGGGTGTACTCCGGAGACCCCACCGCCGCCTTGGCCCCCGTCGATGCCGTCTTGGCCTCCGCCACCGCCGACAAGCACTCCGCCGCCCCCGTGTCCGCGCTGCCTTGACCTTGACGGTTCCTGCATCTGGCCCACCAGCCATGACGACCCCACCACTCCCACAACTGTGCCAGAGCTACCACCCTGACTGCGAGGCCGCCCTCAACCATCAAATCAGCCTGGAGCTCTATGCCTCGTACGTGTTCAGGTCCATGGCCACTTATTTCGAGAGCACTCACGTAGCCCTGAAGCATGTCTCCCAGTTCTTCCTGACGCAGTCCAATGAGCAGAGGGAACACGCCCAGAGGCTGATGTGGCTGCAGAACCAGCGTGGGGGCCGCACCCTCCTGCACGACATCAGCAGTCCTGACCGAAACCACTGGGACAGCAGCCTGAAGGCCATGGAGTCCGCAGTGTGCCTGGCGGTGGGGGTCAACCAGAACCTGGTCCGTGTACAGCAGCTGGCCATGGAAAAGAACGACGCCCACCTGTGCAGCTTCCTAGAGCGTAACTCCCTGCATGAGCAGGTGAAATCCATCCAAGAGGTGGGGGAGCATCTCACCAACTTTCTTCTGCTGAGGGCCCCAGAAGTCGGCCTAGCAGAGCACCTCCGTGACAAGCTCACGCTGGACGACAAAAAAAAGTGAACTTGGACTGCCTTCCCCCTAGCCATGGGGTGACTTCCCCTAGTCACTCTGCCAGGAATGTGTACAGCAATATTGCCCTTCCAGCTTCACCATCTTGCAATAAAGTTATTGGTTCCTAAATAAAGGTCTCAGGTTGACTGGTGTATGTAAAACCCTCACTTTTTAAGTTTTAAAACAGGAATCCAGAAGCCTCTCCACCCACCCATGCCCCATCCACTTGCAGCTCAGGATCTCCAGGGATGGAGGGAGGAGGTATTCCATGAGACCCCGGAAAACACAAAATTAATCTTCCCCTTATAAGCAATGTGGCATATGGGGCTGAGAAAGGTGGATAGTCTGGGGCCCTGGGGAATGTGGGTACATGTCCATAGTAAAAGTATTTTTTTGATGGTCTAGAATTTATCATAATAGTTGCCTCTGGGGAAGAAGTGAAGAATGGTATTGGGCAAGGGTTAAAATAAAGGGGAGTCCTCAGTTTAACTGGAAATGTTTCAGTTCATTCAGCTACACATATGCTAATGTATGTTGATTTGGAGTAGCAAGCTGCCCCCCCACCCCACCCCCCGGAAACCAGCATGGCAGAATACCTCTTTGACAGGCTCACCCTGGGCAACAGTGACAATAGGAAAGAACCTTGGACTGGCTTCCCCATACACACAGGGTTGATCAACTAAAATAGTAACAGTGGCACTTTGTGAGTCCAAGTCCTTTTAGTTACATTATTGTATTTTATTTTTGTAAGAAATTTCAGGAAGTAAAACGGGTAGGTGTTATGACCATGTCTTTACCAATAGGAAAAAAAAAGGAGGCCACACAGGGAAGTTATGGAATGCAGACATGAACGTAGATCTTCTAATGTCACCTTTCTCTCTCTCTCTCTCTCTCTCTCTCTCTCTCTCTCTCTCTCTCTCCTTCCTTCTCTTTCTTTCTTTCTTTCTTTCTTTCTTTCTTTCTTTCTTTCTTTCTTTCTTTCTTTCTTTCTTTCTTTCTTCTGTTAACTCACAGGTATATCAATGGGTTAAGAAAGATTGGATGGATAAACTGGGGATCTAGCCAGATAGCCAGCTCCAGGAGGGAGGGAAATCCCCAACACTCTTAAAGACAACCCTGATCACTGTTCTCACCCCTAATTATAGGTGTGCCTTCCAGCCCAGGGTGGGGATGGCCTCTAAATCTCAGCCAAAATGTTTCTCATCTGAAAGAAATCTTCAGACTTAGCAACAGAATGCATAAGAGGTATCCGGCTACCTCACAGGAAGGCAGTCCACACCTGCACACCTGAATCCCTCTGTTCAGGCTCTCTCCCACACAGGCAGCAATATTATTCCCTCACTTGGCACTGAATACCTATAAGACCTCAGAACTGGAAATTCCCAGAGAGTCCACCATCCACCCAGCTGGCTTCACTGACAGTGACTTCTCTCCAGGCACAATAGGGAAAGAGTGTGGCTGCAAAATACATATGGTCTGCCTGCAAATCCAGCTCATCTGAACAGAAAAACCCTGCATTTTCCCCATGCACAGGGTACTGTAATCTATATACCAAACCATTGCCTGTTGTGGTCTCTTTACTGGGATCTAAAGCCGCCCAGTCGGGTTCTGTCTTGGCCACTGGGCCCCCTCTTTATCCCATCATTTCCTTTCCTGTGATTCAGAGGGATTCCCCAGGATAATGCAGAGAAATCTGCTTATACCTACATCCTCTTATTTTACCTGGGAAAAAGAATTTCTTCACCTGCAAGACTCAAAGAGAATTGTGATTACACTCCAGGGCCTATTACAAGCCACTACTTGTAGTATCACATTTCGCAGCTGTTCTTTGAGAATCCCTGCCAGGGAAGTCAAGATTCAGCAACAGCTCAATTGTTTCTCTCCTTCTTGTTCTTCTGCAAGACAAAAGTGAATGTTCTAAATCCCCTCTTTTAGCTTCAGTTTGGGGCTACACAAACAGCCATTTAAATATGTGGGGCAGTGGTGGAAAGAAGTGGGAAGCATTCAGACTAATGAAGTTGGCCCAGTTGCACTTTCCAATGTCTTGATTTTGTCCATCTATTAAGTTTCCTTATTTTCTCACCCTCCCCTGCCATAACCTCTCAAAAGGGCTGAGCAAACTTCTGGGAAGGGGGGAGTCAGCTTCCCAAATATACACAGCCTCCCCAACTCTTTGATAACCTTTCAGTACATGGGAGTGAGTTGTGACCTGGTCTTCCAGCCCTGGAAAATACCCCCTTGAGACACACACCTGCATGGTTGTCAGTCATTGGCTGTGCTCTGTTGCTTGGGGGAGTGATGTCTGAAACAGTGGCTGTTGCTATGGGTACCGAAATTTCAGGCAATGATAATATCAGGACAGACTGAGGGAAAATGATAAAATTGGTAACTTCATCTCAGGCTCAAACATGGATTCAAATTAACTGTGTTGAATAATTTACCTCTGGGAAAAAAATCCTCACTCTATCACAAAAGGAAATTTCTTAATAGATGGTTGTCACTGACAACTTGTATGCATTTTCCAGAAAAAGGAAAAGTATTTTTCCCCTCAGAAATGTGTGACAAGCAGTACAAAGCACCCATTAATTTCTCCTGAATCTTCTCTACCCTTGAAATTTGTTCCACATTTCTAATTTTTAAATTCTCCTTTGATTTTTTCATTTGCCAGTAATTCCAGTTTCTTTTCACAAACCCAAGAGACATGGCTAATCAAGTATCAGTTGGGATCGCTAATCTCAAAAGTGATACTATGCTTCAGATTTTAAAATAATGAAAACTTTCCTTACAAATCTCTCTTTTTTTTTTTTTTTTTTTTGCAGCCCTGCGCTCAGCTTCAGAGCGATATTGATGGAGAATTTACTTCGGAAAAGCTGAAGTGAAGGGTGAAATGAGGGTAATTAGCAAAATGTTAGGACATTTAAAAGGTAGGGAAAAGAAATGTATGCCTTGATTCATTAGTCAAGGAGAGTGTAGAACCAGAAGCCTGGATACATAGAACAGACTGACAGCTGTCAGATGGGAGGGGGAGGCAGGGACTGGATGAAAGAAGGTAAAGGGATTAGCCAAAGAACATTTATGCATAGCGCATGGACACAGACACAGACAACAGTGTGCTGATAGCCAGGGGGAGGGGGGCAGGGTCTGGGTGGAGGTGTGCAAAGGGGGAGGGATGAGCATATCTGTAATAGTGTCAACAATAAAAATAAATGAATAAATAAATAAATAATCACCCTGGCCAGTTTGGCTCAGCAGTAGATTACCGGCCCGCAGACCAATGAGTCTTGAGTTCAATTCCGGTCAAGGGCATGTACCTCAATTTTGTTTGGTCCCTGGCCCTGGTCGAGGTCGTGTGGGAGGCAACCAGTCAATGTGTCCCTCTCATGTCGATGTTTCTCTCTCTCTCTCTCCCTCTCTCTCTACCTGAAGATAAATGGAAAAATATCCTCAGGTGAGGCTACAAAATAAATTAAAAATTAAAGAGTGGAGTAAGTCACAGTAAGTTAAAGTAAATACTAACAGAATGATATATAAGTTTGGATTGGGTTTGATTATGAGTTAAAAAGACCAGAAAAGCAGTGACTTTCAAAAGCTGTTTTTCTCTCCCAAGTGTAAAACAAGTTCAGAGGAAAACAGTTCAAGCTGCTGTGAACGCCCCTCCCACCTCATTTCCCTTACTTTAAGAGGTAATTTTTTTCACATTTTAACATCTTTGAAATTGGGGTAGATCTTCCAATCACTTTTGGCCATAGCTGCCATGGCCTGAGCTTGCATCTCGAGAAAAAAATTCTAGGGATATTAGCAGAGTTCTCCTTTAAGAGAGGCTGTATCACCAACATTCTTGATGGCTCAGAGGGGCAGTATTAAGAGATCCCAATGATTCTGAGTATAAAACCGGTGTAGAAGTTGAAATGATACATGTATTTATTTGTTTGCTCCAACTTTACTGAGATTTAATTGACATATAACATTGTGTAAGTTTAAGGCTTATAATGTGATAACTTGATATGCATATATATTACAAAATGATCACCACAATAAGGTTAGTTAACACATCCTTAACCTCACATAATTACCATTTTTGTGTGTGTGGTGAGAACATTTAAGATTTACTTTCCTAGCAACGTTCAAGTATAAATTTCAGTATTGTTAGCTATAGTCACAATGCTGTACATTTGATCCCCAGAACTTACTCATATTATAACTGGAAGTTTGTACCTTTTGACCAATATATCCCCATTTACCCCACCCCTAGCCCCTAGCAACTACCATTATACTCTGTTTCTATGACTTTGGCCTTTTTACATTCCACATATAAGTGAAATCATACAGTATTTGATTTTCTCTGACTTAGTCACTTAGCATCATGCCCTCCAGGTCCATCCCCATTGTTGCAAATGACAGGGTTTCCTTCTTTTTTCCATTGTATGTATATACCATATGTCTTCATCCATGCATATGTCAATGAACACTTAGGTTGTTTCTGTGTCTTGGCTATTGTGAATAAATAATATTGCAATAAACATGGGGGTTCAGATAGAAGAGTTGAAATTTGAATCTGAAGAAGTTCTAGCCCTGACTTAAATAACTTATTTAGCACATAGCTTCCTTTTTGTGTGCATGCATAGAGTAATCTAATGACAAAAATATCTATGTCTAAGTAAGTGTAAAGAGATCTTTTAATAAGTATTCATTAAAAATCTAAGAAAAATCTAATGGCTAATAAACAATTGTGTCCTAATTTAATTTGTAGCAATTTTTCTTCACAGCATATAAAATAATGGTGCACCTTAAAATGACATGTTTGATTAAAGACAAAGAAACAATCTTAAAAACAGCAAGAGAAAAGCAGTTAGTTATCTACAAAGGAGCTCCCATAAGACTGTCAGCTGATTTATCAACAGAAACTTTGCAGGCCAGAAGGAATTGGCAAAAAGCATTCAAAGTGATGAAAGTCAAGGACCTACAACCAAGATTACTCTACTTGGCAAAGCTATCATTTAGAATCAAAG